TTCTGTTTACATTTTTAACACTCGCCCGGGTAGCCGGCTAGATACCCTTCGCCCGGGTGGAGAGGGTCAATTTGACCCCCTGAGATCTTGGAAACTAAGGGAGTTAGAGGCATCAAATTCACAGGGTGTGTTGACCTGTACGTGAACTCACTAAGATCAAAGTTTTAGGTTCCTAGGTCATGGCTTTCGGGTTAAATAAGGTCAAACAAGGTCAAATTTTAGGTTGGTCTCTAAAGTGCCTGTAGCGGTGGACCATGCCCCGGGTCAGTGTGTCAGCATGTAAGGCGAGTGGGGCGATGACTCATGTCTGAGTGAGGAGAACAATCACGGCTCGGGGCGGTGCGTCACGGTGGCGCCGGCCAGTCGCACGCAGATCGTGCCCCGGGTATGAACCTTGGAAGCAGTATAACAAGTGCTGCTGGGGCGCGTGGGTTGGGTCTCTCTCTGTCAGTGTTGTGTGCGGCAGTTCGCAGGTGTATGTGGTGTGGTCCAACCGAGATGTGACCACCGAATAGAGTGCCCCCAGAACCTAGATAGCTGTTTCTAAGCAAAAGGTCACATGCTCAGTTAAAGTCAGTGACCTTTTTGACCTTTTGAAGGTCATGGTGACCAAAATCATACAAGTTTTGCATTTGAACGAGCGAGAAAGATTACGCTAGGCAGTATGTTTCTAAAAAAAACAAAATGTTGACCGGGGTCATCTTAGGTCAAGGACCTATTCTTACCTTTAAAAAGTCCATTAAAGGTGTATCATGTGGATCTTGCCATCCGTAAATTCGAAATAAGCACCAGATACTATCCGACACAGTAAGCTCTAGAGTAATAAAACAAGTTGGTTTTGATATTGGTCTGACCTTCATACCTGACTTGAGGTCAACGTCATTTGATCATGCAATACTTGTGCTGCCTAAGAAAGCACCTCAGAGATGTATCGCTTAGTCTAACACTCCATTGTTGGATCAGATTGAACGATTCCCTAGAAGTTGACTTCGCTGAATCCATGGCCTGACTTTGGCTTGCCACAAGTCAGCGACCCTACCAAGTACATCTAAATTTTTAGGCCAAACGATCCGCTATTCAATTGTCTACAGGTGTGCAAAACAAAGCGCGGCCGCGCCGAGTCATTCGGAAACCATTCTGGAAAAATCTTCAGGGGGGAGGGGTGGGCGAGTCAATTTGACGACCGCCCAAGCGCGTAAGGTCGATAAACTACAAAAATCAGGCGTTTAACGACCGCATGGAATAAATCATCGGTTCTCTTAAGTTGCAATGGCTGAGTGGACTATTTCTAAACCGATAGAATTCATAAGCCTTTTCAGAATGTTTTATCTGCGTTCTAAACCCATTAAGGACATGGCGAAGGTAGATTGTAGATCGATATGTTTGATCGAAATTTGAGGGTGAAAATTTTGATTGTAAATCGAGTGGTCAACAATGTGCATTAACATCGCGAAGCCATGTTTGTCTGGAAATGTTTCACATTCAGTCAGAATCGATTAGCGATTTCTATACCGCGGTTTTTAACATACGTGCTCGCAAATCTTAGCAACACAAACCTTGACATCAGGCGTTGCAGTCTCCGTAGCCCGCGGCGTGTTGGCTCAGTGGTCAACTTTTGGTCCACCGGTGGACGAAAATGATAACGGTTCTGAAATCATTACCTTTCAACACTTGCATCGGTTATTAATAAAAGTTGTGTGACGTAATTTTGAGCATGCGTACTCGTCAGTCTTAGTTTAAAAAACCTCGACCCCAGGCGTTACAGCGTCCGTAGGCCGCGCGGCGTCGGCTCAACAGCTAATACTGAGCCGATGCCAACGGGTGGACGAAAGTGATGACGCTTCTGAAAGAAGCACCTTTGAAAGCTTCAGGACATCAAATTTTTCATCTAGGGAGCAGTGTGGGCGCAGATTTCACGTGAGCGATTTTTAGGCTGGTCATGGGAACGGATTGGCCCTTAAAGCACCGCGAAGTGGTGTTGGAATCTTGTGGTGGAACTGGAAGAGTAAAGGCAGATTCTCTCTTTTCCGTGTTTCTGTAACTATCAATCCGTCCAGAAGACAGATTAACATGGCGTCCGCCGTCTGGTGGCACTCGCAGTCACTGACGCTGTTCGGTTTTACGGAAGCTGCAACCCAGACCATCGCTGTCCTTGCTCTCGAGGTTGCGGGCGGGCATATTGAAATATTTTGATGATTGTTTTTTTACCAATCCATTCTGAAAAAATGAACGCTCTTAGGCAAACATGGGATGGCCTTGCTCGTTTAAAAAAAAAAATATTTCGGCCTACTCTTTTCAACACCAATGAGACCTCCAATCTACTTAACAATTATGAGGCCCCCTATTTCCTTCCGGGCAAGATGCCCCTTGAGTGGAACACCAAGGGCACATTACCGGTTCCGGTCAAGAGCTGAAGGGACACTCCGTACCATCGAGAAGCGTCTTCTGGCTGACATTCTAGCGACACGGGGCGGGATCTCCGGGTCGATCTGGAGGCCATTGGAAGGATATATCATATCACATTGTTCCCCTCCCTGACACGGGAGGACTTCTGACTCGTGCAGCTGGCCCCGGATCAGCACAGGAACCCTCATTGACGCAAGAACACCCCTGATCGCCAAGGTGGTCCAATAATTGTCACGCAGGCTCCAGTTCCGTGTTTTTTTTTTTATTTCCTTGAGAGATATTGAGGAATCCCTGGACGCAGATGTCATGAAATGGGGTCCTAAGCTTGTATTAACATGGCTTATCCATGTTTGTCTTAAAATGTTCAAGATTCAGTCAGAACTGATTACTGATAACAAACATGCAATATGGTTTTGAACATACGCGCTCGCAAGTCATAGCAACAACAGCCTGAACGTCCGACGTTGCAGTCTCCATATGCCGCGTGGCGTCGGTCCCCAGCTGTGACGCTAAGCGATGACCAATAAGGAAACGAAAAAGATGACGTATCTTGAGGAAAATGGCTGGCAAACTAGGTAAATCGGCATATATATTTAGATGTGGTGCAAAAGTAAGCTAAACACAACCTTAATCTGAAAAGTGCGTGGGGGAGGGGGATCAGTTAACACTGCTGGCCCCCCACCTTGAAAAGTGGGGGCTATGCCCCCTGACCCCCCTCCTGTTCTTACGCCCATGATCCACCCTGACAACGCTTCCCCTAAGGCTACAGGATGTGCGTTCCAACTTCTCGATGCTTGTCCCAGGGTGCTGCGAGCCCGTCTGGCCCGCCTTATCTCATTTCGATCCTATGTTAGTGTTGTTGCTGTTGTTGCATGTTATACTCTTTTACACGGACTGTTTCTAAGCACTCCCGGTTAGACTTATTCGGAACAAATCACTGGTGAATGGGTAACCCCATCTGTCTGTCGGGAGTAGGCTGGAAGCGCATTTCAGCAAAAATGTTGTGGCTCTGGTGCAAACCAATGTCATTTCCCAGCTGAAAATGTTTCACTTAACGTGTTAGGTTGAAAATTCAGCTTATAAAAATGCTGATGTTTAAACCAGTCCGCAAAGAACAGCGTTTTCGCAGCCATGGCGCTGGTGCCATATGACGTAGTCCCATGATGACGTCACAGCATCGCTACCCAGAATGCAGTAATTCGGGGGCTTGGGTGCGGATTACACACAACAAACATACTGTGCTTACCAGGTACTCTGAACCAAAAACAATCCATGCAAACCATTTGGAATAAATGCATAAAAACAATGTTTTCTGAGTTAGCGGTGCTGAAGTGTACACGTCACGTAGGCTAATATTAGGCTAGATTTAACACCCATTCAATGCGGTGGTTAGTCATATCCTCAGTTTATAACGCGTGACGTGCAGCGATTCTCAATTTCTTCATTGCTAATGGTGACCGCGCCGCAATAGAAAAGCTCAGGAACTAGCCCCGCGTGATAAAAACCACTCCAGATCCACTTAGCTAGGCTTCTACGCTCACCGCCGCGACTCGATGCATCAAAACGACGCAGCACCAGGGCCAGCTATTGTTTTGCAGTCGACCTGCGCATTTACTGCTACCAAGGCCCGAGCGGAGCGTCACTTTGACGTGCAGGCCGCTGCCGAGGCGAGCGCGACTCCCGTCACCGGGCGTCCGCCACCGGTGACACGTGACCCCGCACCACTCTGGCCGTCTGCGACGCCTCTGAGTGAGCCGTTAAGTGAGTCGCCGGGACGGCTCGGCCGGGACTGTATTCTACGGTCGGCTCCGGTCCGAGGTGCTCGCGGAGCGCATCCGGGAGGCAGGCATGAGGTGCCTCTGTGTTCTCCTCGCGCTGGGCGTCCTTACAGCCGCCATGACGGGTGAGTGGGATTTGCTGTGCGGCTCTGGTGATCTTGGAACACACTTGCCAGTCGCAGTAACGGATTTATCCATATGCATCTGACCATGAGATAAGAACGCTCGATGAGATGGCGCCACTGTGCCAGCTCATGTTATTCCGTCGGCGATGAGCATATTCCGCACAACAGTTTGATGTGGTCTTGCCTTGCTGCAATAAGTGTCCTTCGACCAACAAACACTTCAACGTTGCCACCCGGATGCCCCATGACATGACAGCAAATTTACAAGCGGCTTATTGCAACAATGTGCTTCATAGAAGCACTGATTCGAAACGTTTACAAGCCCCATATACCGACCAAGCACGTTCCATAAGCGCCGCTCTCTTTCCGATCTGACCGCGTATCTCGCCCTTCCCCCTCTAGAAGCGATCCTCTGGCCCCGATGCGGTCCATATCGCCGCTGTCCCATCTTCAAGCCGCACTGCTGCCGGCTGCCCTGGAGCCACCACTGCATCTGCACGCCGCTGTGCTTCACGCCGTGCCAGCTGAGGGGCTGAGTGGACAGGCGAGCTCGCGGGCCACCCCACCGCCCGGCGCCGCGCCCCCGCCGGCGGTCCGGCGCCGCGCCCCCGGCCGGCGGTCCGGCCCCGCCGCTCCAGGGCTGTGGACGGCCGCTGACGCCCAGCTCAGGCCACAAGCGGAAGGAAGTTGCACAGTGTATTCGTCCGGCGCACCGTTAAAACGCACTGTTTGAATTTTGTATCTCTTGTTTGTCATAGATGGTAACCGCATAGTATCCGGATCGCGAAAAGGACGATGCCTTCGCAGCGGGACAACCAGCGCCCACCCGCTGCGAACACGAGGTGCGGTAGTCGCAGAAGTTTGCTGGGATACCGGCATCGCTACGACGAACCAGCAAAAAGGAAAATAAAGCTGCGGCCACAGTCGGAGCAGGGCGCTGAGAGGCCTCCTCAGCTGGCAGATGTCAGCGTTTGCATGGCTGAGAAACCTCTGCACTATTTATCCACGATGGTTGTAACATTGCCAGTCTTCCGCTGGCCCGCAGCGGCTCCGACCGGCCTCGACGCTCCTCCTCGACTGTGTCGGCTTAGACACCGCCACTCCGGCGCCCGCATAGCCAACTCTTCACCGCGGAAAAACAGAACCAATGGAAAACCGAACTGCAGCCGCCCAAACATCGCGGCATCTCGACAGGCGCCGCTCAAAGCCAGACACAAAGAGCGCAACAGGACTCCTTAGATCCCGGCCTAAACAGTCCCACGGTAGGCTGACAGGAGATCACCGCACGTCACCGCACACAGCCAGGCTCAACGAAACCGGGGCGGATCGGCCAGCTCCTATCGAAAAAATAACGCAAAAACCGCCTACTTGAGCGGGCACTGACGACCATATTGATGATACTAGTCTATTAGAGCGACATGGAGTTCGTGACACTACTATGATACTAGCCTATCAGAGCCACATGGAGTTTGTGACACTACTATGATACCAGGGTAATAGAGCGACACAGAGTTTGTAACAGGACTCAATCACGCAGGGTCCAACGCTGGGCGCCAACTCCCGCGGAGGAGCCGTCGGCAAACGATCACGATGCCCGCCGTTTGATGCTGCACTTGCCCCTCTGCAGGTGCGAAAGGTAGATGCGGGCTTTGCTGTTGTCAGCTGTTTTTCGCACCCAGACCTGTAAACGAAGACCGACTCCAATGTGTCTGGCGCGGCGGCCACCGAGCAATTCACGCGCATGGCC